CAACAAGTATCCATAACTAGTTAATGGGTCCAAATATGGAGACAAAAGCCACCAAGAGGCTTTCTTCCATGCTTAGTGATGCCAGCATCCCTCGGACAGAGAAAGTGTCTAGTCTGTGATAGGGTCTCAAAATAGACACTTTGTAAAACCTGCAGGTCTCCTCCTTATGTGTGGGATGCCTCCTTAAAGAGTGCAGGTCTAGTTGTCTCCTCTTAATAGGTCCCAAGACAAGCAGATGAGAAATCTATTGGATCTCACAACCACGTGGATTTTACCAACATCATCGCTAGGCCGTATTCTCAATGAGTGGGAAAGGCTTGATCCTTACAATCCAGAACAGGAGCAGCTTATCTACTATTGCAATATGGTTTGGGTCCAATATGAACTAGGAGGTGACAAGAGATGGGTACAGGATGGTACTTTAAATTATGAGACTATTCTCCAGTTACAGCATTTCTGCTCAAAACATTAAAGGTGGAATGAAATTCCTTAGGTTCAGGCTTTTTTAACTTCATCACAGGAAAGGCTCAAAAACTAAGCGGGACAGCCCTGTCCTGGAATCCCCACTTGTCTCTCAGGGGGATGTGGGTTTCTGAGATATACAGATGTACAAGAGGCTAGGAACTATTCAAATGAACAATGTGCTTTAAAAGGGAAGGAAACCACCCTGGAAAGATTATTCTCCCTTCAACAGAATCAAACTGGGACTATAATACTCAGCATGGACTAGAAATGATGATGTCTGACAGGCTAGCTGGTCCTACCAGGGCAATAAAGATGTGTTGAGTCTTTCGTAAATGTACTGATATAGATCCGTCTTTCAGAGTGGGAGAGGCACTGTCAGTGAGCCCCAGATATCAAGGCTAAGCTACAAAAATTTCAGATGAGGCCACAGACACCTATGGCCCGATTGCTGGACACGGTTTTTCCTATGTTCAACAATCGGGACCCAGAGGAGAGACAAAGGAGAGAGGCTAAGATTATAGCTATGACAACTGGTAATGCTTAAAACCCACCTAGGTCATCTAAGAAAAAAACCCAGGGGCAGCCAAAAAAAGAAAGGGACAGCAAGAAGCCTGAACACTGGGCATGAGATTGCACTGAGCCTCTACCTGGGCCTTGCCCCACATGTGAGGCAGCTAATGTGTCTGACTTGTGGCTTTCGAGATTTGACTGTCCCCGCTCCCAGAGAGAGGCTAGGCCAGCCAGAACCCTCATTTTCTACTCTGATGACTGATGAGACCCAGGGGAGCCTCCAATGCCCCTGTCCACAGACATCACCATCTCCTCTGGGGAACCCTGGGTAAATTTAGACATCATGGGTGAGCCAATTCAATTGCTTATTGATACAGGGGCAGCTCATTCTGTTTTGTCTTTCTTCTCTGGAAAACTTTTCTCTACGTCTATAGCCATAGTTGGGGTTGAGGGGATCCCTAGGCCGAGATTCTTTACTCCTCCTCTGACATGTCACTTTCAAGGCCAAATGTTTAACTATGAGTTTCTAACTGTCCCAAGGTGTCCTGCTCCCTTACTAGGAAAAAATTTACTAGCAAAATGGGGGGCAATTCTCAAATTCCAGCTAAGGCCAAAATGGATTTTACTTGTTAAGACTACACTAGGTCTCCCTGACCAAATTAGCCAACAAGTAGATCCCTGCTGGATGGTATGATGGAATACCTGATAGGGCAATTCTGCTATGCCAGTAGTTGTAACACTAAAAGACCCCAGGCAATTTCCTAACCAAATGCAGTATCTAATCAAAAAAGAGGCATGTAAAGTCCTCCAGCCTCTCATAGACAAGTTACTGTCTAAAGAACAAGATCACTCAAAAGGAAAAAGCTACTCCTGTGAGCCTCTGGAAGACCTGAAATTTCTCTTCAAAAAGCAAAACTACAGTGCCACTATAGAAGTGTGGAAATCTGACCTGCTTCTCATACTTGGGCCAATAGTGAAGGTCAATGGCCATTAACTCTTTTCTCCTTGTTTCCTAGAAAGTTTTTCCTTCTTCAACCCAGCCAGTGAGCCACAGCACCCCACGGTAGTTGGAGAGCACATAATCCCCAAGTAGGTAGGGTCTACTTTCAGCTTGAAGAAGCTATAAAAGAGACCTCCATTCCCTCAGCATCCCATAAAGAATTACCGGGATTTGTGTTTCTCAGAGGGAAATGAGAACGATTAGGGTGTGGAAAAGATGGCTGAGGAAGTAAACGTGACCTGTTAATTACAAAGATACTGGTACATGTGCGAAAAAGCCCTACATATAGATTTCTTGTGAGAACTCAAGCAGGTTTTCAACAGAATGGCCTAGATCTGACATCAGCATGAGGCACGGGATCCCAGGACTACCTGTAGGACCAGCATGTAGAAGTTCTCCAGGGTTTCTTTGAGATTCAGACAGGATAAAAGGAGGGGTGAGCCAAGAAGAGCTTGTTATCATGGCTTTTCCTCACAACAGCCTTCCCTGCTTTCTCCAGCCCCTCCCTTCCTCCCTTCCTCCCTTCCTTTGTACCAGGGATCAAACTCAGGTTCTTGTGCTTACCAGGAAGGCAGCAGAACCACTGAGCTAAATCCCGGGCCCTCCAGCCTGTTCTTTTATTTTGCTCTCTTCCTCTTTTACTTGACCCAAGCTTGCTCTGCAGAGCCAGTTTCTCCCCCACTTTTCACTTTTACTTTTTCATATAAACTTGGCCACTGCTTTTTGCTCATTTTGTTCAATTCTTTGTTCAGGACAAGAAGAACCTGGAATCCAAATCCAGAGGGAGAGGTGAGCAACCCAGAGCCCAGTAACATTTAGTTGGTGAGTCACTTTTAGAAGTAGGCTATCTGGTCACACTTGGACTACAGAGTGAGTTCAAGGCCAGCCTGAACTACAGAGCGAGACGACCATGTCTCAAAAACCCAAAAATAAATAAACAAAAACTTTTAAAATTAAATTATACTGTATAATACTCATTTTTAAATTCTGCTTTTTCCCAAAGTCAACATTTAATAATATAATTTTATTAAAAATTTCCCAATGTATTCTTGGCATCTGTCTTTAAGTTTACACTAGAGTGACTGAGTTAGTTTTTTTCATTGTATTATCATCTTTATCAAAATTATAGTACCTTTTTAATCTCTGTGATCAAAATTTTTACAAGGTCTTTTTCTACATATTTAGGCAGCTCTTTTCATTCTATAGGTGTACATTGTAGATCATAATTTCTATAAAGTAACAACTAGCACAGGACCCTAAAGAAAGCAGCTTAGGCTTATATCGCTTCCAAAAAGTCCTTTGTGAGGCTTTGTGTGGAGAATACTGACTTGGCTCTTTTCAGACAGAATTTTGGAGAAGACCTTGTCCCATACCCAAGTAATCAAATGAAAATTTCACAAAGAATTAGGGAACTAATTATTACTATAATTATTTTGGGGTTTTTTTGAGACACAGTCTTGCTAAGACTAAGTCAAAACTGGCCCTGAACTCACAATGTAACCCCAGGTTGGTCTTGAACTCATGAGATCCTTCTGAATCAGCCTCCCAAGTGCTGGAATTACAGGCACGTGCCATCATGCCTGGGCCCTCAATTTTGTGTGTGGTACTGGGGTCAGCACTTGGGAGGCTGAAGCAGGAATGAGGCCAGCCTAGGCTACATAACATAGTGGAACTATGCTGGCCTGAACTATGGTACACAGAAAGACCCTGTCTCAAACAAAACAAACGAACAAAAATACATACAAGGGTTGGTGATGTAGCTCTCAGTGTGAAGGCCCTCAGTCCAATCCCCAGGAGAGGGGAAAAAAAAGAAAAACTGGGACAGTAGTTTTAATTATTAATCTCATACTAACGTCCTGTCAGAAGTTGTTTCAAGCATTTTACATAAATTCATTTATTATCACAATGGTTCCTCAAAATAGGTGCTATTGATAATTTCATTTTACTGATAAGAAAACCCACACAAAGAAGTTAAGGTTAAAGTCATACAGCTAGTAAGTAGATGGTGAAAATTCAAGGAATCTAGTTCTAGGCCCTTTTAAAAGATGATATATTCCTCTTAGGCAGCTAATATACGTTGTTTAAAGAAGACAAGGGAGTGAGAGTCCAGTATATTTTCACGTATTTTCTATTATCTAGCCACACTTTCTTAAGACATAATGACGGGTCTGGGGGAGAGGTAGTTCACCCTTTGTATTTATATTCCCAAAGGTAATCAGTACCCTCATTTCAGCCAGTACTGGTAAGGTAAAAGATTCTTACTATACTCACAAGGATAGAACAAACTGCATCTTCCTCATTCTCCAAACTCTGTAAATCATGACGGAAAATCTGCCCCTCTGGGCCTACTACTCCTTTGCTATATAAAAACTAACTTTAAATGTCTTCTTTGATAAGAACTTTCCTACACCCTAAAACGCTGGTCGCACTTCATCACTCATCATCATCTGGCAGTGTCCCACAGGGCGGGCTGGGGGTGGGGAGCAATTTCTTAAGGAAAAAAGGGGGAAATACGAAGTCAGGAATGAGCGAAGAGGAGGGAATGTGTAGCACACAGAAGAGTGAAGGAGGCAGAAGGGGAGGCACTGCTGTCTGACTCGCATTTCGTGCAGACAGAACGAGAACAGAAATTGAGCTGGGGTTCCAGTCACTGAAACCTGTTTGGCATCATTTTCTTGAATTTTTCCTTTATACGTCTTAGACTTCTCCCTTCAGGAGAAACAGACCCTAAGAGTAATAATGGCCTCGTCAGTCAGAGCCAGAGCCTGTTCCTTGAAGGCATCACTCCCCGCCGGCCAAGGGCTCTTCTCGCGCCGTCAGCGGGCGGGAGCGACGACCCGAAGCCCCGGACCCCGAGGCCAGCGACCCGCGCCCGGCCCTCGGCAGCAGCCGGCGCGGCTCCCCCGCCCGCGGACAACCCGGCGCACTGCCACCGTCCGCCGCAGAACCCGAACCGAGGCCTTCCCGACACGCCGAGCCCGGCGGTCACGAGGGAAACCCAAGCTAGCTGGCGCGAGGGTCTTACCTTTAACAGATTAGACGTCGCCATGTTCCTTCAACTTCGACTCTCGCGAGACGAGGCGAGACTTCGCGGCGCTCCCGGCCAGGCCACAGGCGGAGGCCGCGTACCCACCGCGGCCCACGGGCCCAGCCGCCCCCACTGCGTGTGTGGAGGGCGCCGGCCGGCGTGCGGACAGCGCGGACCGAGTCCCAGGCACCGGAGCTTCCTCTTGCGTCCCCCCTACATGGTCACCGGAGCTTCCCTTTACGAAAGAGCTCATACAAACACTCAGGGAGACGGGAGGGGCGAATGGTGAGGCGGTGAGGGGAGCCGACCTGACTTGGAGGAGGAAGCATCGACTCCACCAGCCTCCCCCGCTCCTTCGGGTTAGCCTTTGTGGTAGCACCTACAGCGGCCACCCCGGCCACGGGCTACAAAATAGCGAGGCTTGGGCCGGGCAGCTCAGGTTCCCGGAGGCGTCTCGTGACGCGGGGGGCGGGGAGAGCAGGGACCTGGAAGCCGGCTGGCCTGGATACCTCTGTGAGCACGCCCTCTGCTGGCCGAACTCGCGGTTTCCCCGCAGCCCGAGCCCCAAATCCCAGGCGGTACTTTATCCTTGGCCCAAAATAGCGCTTCAGTAAGAACTGGCACAGAGAAGGCGCACAGCAAAAATTGTTGAGTGGACGAATGCACAGATGTATTAATTATTAATATTTCTAGGCAAGAGATCCTGGCAGTTTTATAACTATAAAACAGTACTCTTGGAATGAATATTAATCTTGGATTTCTCCAAGGCAGATTACTCAAGAGTACCCTAAACGGGTGGTGGTGAACCTGTGGCATACAGACCCCTCTCTGTCCAAACTTGAACCAAGTTGCCCTAAGCAAGGTAATGACAAATTATCAGCATATGTACAACAGCAAAGATCACATTAATTGTGCAAAATGATACCAAATGCAAACTTTTACCTTTCAATAAAAAGCTGTATCATTGAAAGCTCTGTTATTGTGTTTTTAAAACAAAAGATGTTGTGTATGAACTGTTTTTTCTAAATTGCCATCTTGGCACTTTGTGATAAATAAGTGGGTTTTTGGGTTGCAGTTTGGGCACTCGGTCTCTGAGAGATTCATCATCAGTGCCCTAAACCATAACTCTCACGTTTTATTCATTCAAACTATAAGTCATTACCCAAAGGAAGAGAATATAATTTACATGCAGAGGCTACAGGATACCTAGTATTTTATTATGCATATTTATAAACAGTATTTATTCATCCCTTCATAATGTGTAAAAGTAAATGAGAACCATGAAGTAAAGCAAAGAGGTAAGAGAAATAATTAATACTTCTTTGAGCTCCTGTATGTTATAGGCACTGGAATATAGGATTAAATAAAACAGAGAAGACCTCTTACTCTCGGAGTTTGTGAAGGGAGCTAAATATTAAGCATCATTAATCAAATACCCAACCACAGATACAGAATAGTTGGGGAAAAGAGAGAAAAAAAAATACTTGGAAAAGATTGAGTGTGTACTGAATTTTTCTTGTCATTCCCAAAACGAAAGTATAAGTACTTGTATACCATTTACATTATACAGTATTGGGTATTATAATAATCCAGAGATGATTTAAAGTATAAAAAAACTGTGCACAGCTGGGGATTTAGCTCAGTGGTTCTGCCTGCCTCGCAAGTACAAGGTCCTGAGTTCGATCTCTGGTACAAAAAAAAAAACTGCACAGATTGTATGTAAAAAGTACACCATCTTATATAAAGGACTCGAGCAGCCAAGGATTTTAGTATCCTTAGGGATTGTGGAACCAATCTCCTGTGAATAGTGAGAAATGACTGTATTCCTTAATTGGGATTGTGATAAATACTATAAAGAAAAAATACAATTTGCACTTGAGAGCATAGGTGAAGGAGGAGGGCCAATATAATCTCCATTTGTCTGAGCCACCCATTCCTTATGAATAGAACCCTATGACAGAACTGTAATGACTACTTTTGAAAACTCCATTTCCACCTTCCACTGTGTAACCAAACATTTCATTCGCCTGACTTACCTTTCTGGTAACACTACCTACAACTCTTTGACCTCTGTGAGTTCTCTATTTCCGTTGACACCACCACTTCCTTGTTAGCTGTTTTCACTTTCTTTCTCATCAAATTTAGATCTGATGGCCTATCATTATAAAAAATGTTTAAAATGTTTAATGCCAGGTGCAGTGGTACATGCCTGTAATCCCAGCACTTGGGAGGCTGAGGTAGGATTGCTGAAAGTTCGAGGCCAGCCTGGGATACATAGTGAATTTAAGGCCAGACTGAACTATATAGTGAGACTCTGTCTCAAAAAACAAAACAAAATGCTTAAGTTAATATTTAACATAGAGAACACAAGCATATAGTGTAAAATCCAGAAGATGCTAAGAGGAATACAATCAAAAGTAAGCCTTCTTCCACTCTCTGGGGAGCTGTGATGTTCTATACAGTATTGAGGTAGGATTTGGGTTATTTAAGTATATGCCTTCCTCAAAATTTAGCCAGTTTACCCTTAAAATATATGGGTTTTTGTTGTTGTTGTTGTTGTTGTTTGAGAAAGGGTCTCGATATGTAGTTCAGGCTGGTCTTGAACTCATGATGTACCCCAGGCTAGCTTCAAACTCACAGTGATCCTCCTGCCTCAGCCTCCTGAGTGCTGGGAAGGGTGTATGTATTTCATTCAAAGAGAAAATAGTAAACAAAATTTGAAATTTAGTTAATGATGTTCATGATGAGGAATTCTGGGGTAATTGAAGTTATATTTACAATTTACTTTGAAATGTATCAAAAAATAAGATAGGGGATTTAGCTCAGTGATACTGCTGCATTCCTCGAAAGCAGAAGGTCCTGAGTTCGAGCCCCGGTACTGAAAAAAAAAGATAGATGGTTGGACAGAAATATTGATAAAATATTATAACATGTTAATAGAATTTAAGTGGCAGATACTAGGGTTCCCTGTGTAGAATTCTTTTAATTTGTTTCTATGTTTGGCATTTTCCAAGACTCAATATTGGAAGAATTTGAGCCGGGGATGTACCTCAGTGGCACAGCGCCTGCCTGGACCTCAAGATCCTGAGTTTGATACCTGGTACAAAAAAAAAAAAATGTATATTTGGATGGGAAATTTTTTTTAAAAAAGGAATAAGCTTTTATTTCGCCACAGCCCCCCTGGTATCCCAGTATCCATCCTTCTTGGGTCAACCAGCTACAGGTTTCTTGTAAATCTCTAGGACATTCCATGTATAAAGCATTCCTGTATGTTTAGGTATTATAACAATCTAGAGACGGTGTAAAGTATACTGTAAATGATGGCATATTACTTATCCTCTGTAATATCCCCAATTAGAAGTATGACATAAACTAATGAAAAAATGTGTTGTTATGTGCTATTTTTTACACTTTTTGGGGGGATACTGGGGATCAAACTCAGGACCTTGAGTTTGCAAAGCAGGTGTGGTACCGCTGAGCTAAATCCCCAACACTTTTTTACACTTTCTTATGGAAATTCAAACAATTACTGGCTGGTACTAAATGCTTCTGTTGCTTGCAGATAATTACATCAAAAATAGTCTCACGAAATTCATGTTAAGCACAAGCTTGAGATTTGTAAGATTAAAAAAAAAGTTTCTGCCGAATAGAGTGTGCAAAGTTTAATCAACAAACCGTACATTGATTAGCAAGTTGGTGAAAAACTCGACCAGCACCAAGGGTCTACAGGATTTTGGAGGAGGCAAATAGACCAAAGAGATTAAAGAAGATGGCAGTGGGGCCTTCTGGACCAGTGAGAACGACAGGGAAAAAGGGTTCACTTCGCAGCTCTGCACCGGTGCCTGGCATTAATCAGCAAGCCCCTCAGAAAACCAGCCTAGATCAAACCCTAACTGGAATCTACCAGTATCTTTGTATCAACTTCTAGTCTTTTTCCTAAACTAGAGGATCCTCCCTTGCCATGCCAGGGAGTGGCTCTCACATTGCCTGTGCCAAGGGGCAATGTGTTGACGGTGTAGTTGTTTCTGGGCAGAGTGCACCTTAGGGGCAGCTTCTTTCTCCATCCTGCCTACAAGACAATCTTCTGCACTTTGATCTTTCATCAGGCCCTGGAGGACTCCTCCCCCTCCCATATCCCATACACCTCTCAGACCTACTTTCACTTCCAGAGAGTACGCTCCTGGGTAAGATGGGTGCCTGAGGGAGGAGATGGTAAGGAAGTGTGAAAGCTGTGCCAGTAACTGTGAAATTAAAGAGAATGACCTAGGGTTTCCACCCATGGGCCAGGGTCTGGCTTGAAACCCTCACTACCCAAGTTGTACATATTGCATAATCACTTTCTTACATATGTCTTCAACAACCTAATGCTTCTTCTCCTTTGTCATACACAAGTATTGTAATAAAATCACAATCTTGGTCGCACACACCTGCAATCCCAGTCCCCAGGAGGCTGACCAGTATGGGCTGCACAGTGAGTTCAAGGTGAGCCTGGACTATGTAGCAAGACCCTATCTAAAAAAATTCAAACAAAACAAAATAAACAAAACCACAACAAAGATGGGTGTCTTTAGGAAAGGAGGGAGGATGACTTGGAAAGGGCCCTGGGCTTGGGAAGCAAAGAGGGCCCACGTGTGCAGTGCTGACTTCAGAGGGGTGGGATGGGGCAGGAAGGCCAAGTTTCTCTTAGAACCTGAAAGTAAATGAACTATTAAGAAAATAGTTTACCAGCACAGGGAATTTTACTGCCTGTCCAGAGGTACAGAGTTGAGAAAATGGAGATGGAATTAGAAGGGGTAAAGGGCCCCTAAGTGTGGGGCGGCCTACAGGTAACCTGGTCTCCTTTGGAGACTGGAGTAACAAGGCTAAAGCCATAATGACTTTGGCTTAAGTGGTGGCAAGACAGATAATGGGGAGTACGTGTGTATTTAGTAAGGCTCCCCTTCTTTGCTGCAGTTGGAAGGTGTAAGGTGGGGAGAATATACAAGATTCTTGAGGTTTTACTTATTTTTATCAGTGCATGTTTGCAGTACATAATGGTTATATTCACTGTAGGGAGTTGGCATATGTACCTCACACCTTGGAATCCTTTTTATGTCCTGTGCCCCCCTCGCCCTCTCACTTCCTCTTGGGGATTTTTTCTGACTCTTGCTATAAGAGGAAAGGGAGCCAGGCAGAACACAGGTTTATTTAGAGTACTAAGAATTTGGGAGAATTTTTTCTTTTTTTGGTGGTAATGGGGATTGAACATAGGGATATTCCAATAATGGTATCCCCAGCCCCTTTTAATTTTTTTTATTTGGAGACAGGGTTTCACTAAGACACTGAATGGCCCAGACTTGGCTTGAATTTAGAGTCCTGGTATTATGGGCATGTGCCACCACACTTGGCCCTGGGGAATAAATTTTATTTTGTTGTTTGGTTTGGTTTTTTTGTTGCTGTTTTTTTTGAGACAGAGCCTTCCTTTGTAGTTCAGGCTGGCCTTGAACTCATTGTTTA